GTTGAGGAAGAGACACTTATTTGAGCAGTGGTTTTAAATATCAGTTCCCAAGGTAGAGGAAATCAAGAGACCCAGCACCAGTATGAAGCCAGGTCAAACCTAAGAGCTGCAGCGCAATGGGTTGTGTGGGTGGGTTTTTTTAAACCGTTGGAATGAGGTCAAGAGTACCAGTTGCACATGAGTTGTTAGTAGAGTAAATCTTCATGTCAGGAAGCAAGTTAAAACTTGTTTTTATACTCATAAAACATTCTATCTATTCATATATATAGGAGGTCACTTAAAAATAAAAAAGGCAACAGAAAAACATCTTTAAAATACTGTGTCAGGGCTGACCCTTCCCTCCCGCCCGCCCCCAGCCCCCCCAAGTAGCTATGACTCTATAATGTGATTCACATTTAGTTTTTTAAATTCTAGCTTTCACCATGGTCTCATAGAAACAAAAGTTCTCTGCGAAGCACACAACTGCTTTGCAACGTCAACAAATTAAAAGGAAAAAATCAACCTCCCCCCCCCCAGCCAAAGAGCTTCTCAGTCAGTTACCTGCAAAAGATGGCTGGGAGGGGGTTCAGATACTTTTAGGTTAAGCTCTTTTAAAAAGAAAGGACGACTCCTCCCCCTTTTTCAACCGTGTGAACTAGGAGTTTATGGCATTTGTCTATTTTTGAACATTTAAAGGTAAGGATTTTGTACAGTAATGATTAATACTTAAACATAAATATTCTCCTACATTATATACTAGTTTTTCTTTGTACATGCGGGGAAAAAAAGTATTTTCAACAAACATGGCACATGCTATATGCATTTCCTCCTCGGTAGCTTGGCTACAATAGTTTGGGTGAAGAGGATAAAAGCAAGACCTTGTGGCGAGTGGGCGACGGTCCATGAGCACAGTCTGAAGATGGAAGAAGTGGAGAGAGGGAGCTGATTCCTCCTCCAGGGTCAAGACGCTGATCTACTGAGTGCCTCAAAAAAACACCAGCGCACACCTCTAGTGTAAACGTTAGCGCAGAAGACCACATTATCACTTAGTGCTTCTGAGAAGCTGCTTCCCCACACTTTTTTTTTTTTTTAAAAAATAGGTGTGAACAGCTGGTCATTTTTTTTCAGCGAGAACAAACAATATCAGCCAGTAAAGCACATGACAGTTGTCGTCGATAAAGCCACGCAACCTGGCACATGTAGGGCAAAGAACCACAAAATAAAATCTCAGTACACTTAGAATAATAATTATTAAAAAAGCATTAGGAGGATGTTTTTCTGTCTACACTGTACATACAGATGTTATGCTTGGAAAGCTGCTGTCTCACACAGTCATAACATGAGTCAACATTGCTTAAGATACAAATCCAATACAGTTACAACTAAGCCAATTCACTGAGTAGTCTCCTTCGAGACAGCGCTCTTTTAGCTGCAGTTTGTGCTGAGGGCAATGCTGCAAGACGAGAGGATCCTGGAACACAAGAATTTGATGGGTAAGCGACCGAATCGGGTGTTGGCAGATGTATGTTTTGCTCTTAGAAGATACAGTGCTAACTTGACTTCTGTAAGGAAACCGAAGTCAGCAACTAGGGGTCTGATCCTGCAACTCCACCTACCCAGGCAGGATCACTGACTTCACCAGACCCACCTCTGCAACTTGGGTCTGGTGAGGAGAACAGGTTAATGTCTGAGGACAGCTGAGGTGAGGCTCTGGGGACTAGCCGGAGCAGCAGTTGCTTCCATGAGTAAAGGATGCAGAGCGGGGCTGGAGAAAAAGCCCCCCCCCCAAGCGTATTGATGTGATCTCCGTTTGCTTTACTTCGTGGAACGGATGATGAACTGATCCAGTTGTCAAATACTTTTTTCTCTAAAGTGTGAAATATACTTTCCCCTACAAGAATCCAAAAGCATCATTAACAGCACTTAAACTTGGTTTGTGAAACAGAAAGAAGTCTGAATATAAAAATAATTCAAGCAGATTCTCTTTACAAATTGTATAGTGAATTCAGTATTTGGCAAGACCGTTTTTACTACATAATGAGCTCCTGAGTGTTTGTCTATTAGCTAAAACTTTTCTATTTTCTTTAAGCCATAAAGCAAAGAAAACCATATACTCAAGTTATACTGAAGTCACGACTTCATTTATGAAAAGAGGTTTGACCAGAAACTCAGTGCAAGTGGCAAAGTTGACCATTACTGTACAGTATCTGCAAGAAAATAAAATAACTCCACATTGCTCAAGTGGCACGAAATGCCTGTGCCAAAAAAATTGTCTATAATAAAATCTCAAATAAGTTTCCAACATTAAAATTTTATAAATAAGTACAAATCGAATGATATTGCTGAACTGCGAACCAAGAAAAAAAATTATCGTGTAACAAGTTACCAAACTAGTTCTAGCATCGAAGACAAAAAGGAATGTTGGAACCTGTTTATACAATAGAAATGAAAGCTTCCAGTTTGTAGGATGAGAAAAATTGAGGCATGCAGGGACTTTTGCATATGGATATATATATTTTATATATATTATATATAATATGTACAGTTTAGCTATAAAACTTTGATGTGTAAAGAAGCTGTCTTCAATGAAAAATTGAACATTCAGAGGAAATTCCTGAGTTAGGGTTTTGTGACATGGGCCACTGAGAAAAAAGCTGCGGTTGGGTCCTCAGAGGTGTTATGTCCATCCCTGTTAAGATTGAAATCAACATACAAAAACAGACAGTGTTGCCACTGCTTCGTTCCCTGCCTGAGCAAGGGATAGCACCATTGTGAAGAGAACTCCTGCTTGTAGAGAGGAGGGAATACTTAAAAACAGTATTGCTGCTAAGACCACTGTAGTGTGCACCAAATACGTTCTTCTAGACAACAAATGAACACTGCCACTGGCTGACTGAAGAACACCTGACCAGGTGTAACGTTAAGGTTACAAGTCACTAGGTGTAATCTTTCCTAGGTTGTTCATCTGTTGTACATTTATCAGTCATTTCCTGACAGAAGTCTACCGTGACCGTTTGGCTGCTCTGCTCTGGCGGAAGCTCTCTCTCAGGGTAAGTACCTGTGTCGGCTCCATCCAACCCCCCGCCGGCCGAACAATTTTCTGAGATGTTGTTGGGCAGCCAGGGCGCTCCCAGTTGCACCGAGCCTTGCTCCGAGCAGCACTGCATGCTTTCCCCAACGCACTGGGAGGTCACCAGGCTCTGTTCCACGCCAGCTGGGGAGGGGCTGATGGTGGTGGCTGGCTGTAGATCCATGGGTCTGAGAACGGGGCAGTATCGGTGGAGAGCTTGGATCTGTTCCGGGCTCTGCATGTCTCTACACACTTCTTGGGAAAGACACGAGAAGTTGTCTAACAATTCTCCCATGCTTGCTTTCAACTGGTTCCTTTCTGAGAGCAATTTCTCTTTCTCACACACCTGAAAAAGAAAGAAGGCACCTTAGGTTGAGGAAGGGCCATCCGCCGGCTGCACGCTCCAGGCATGTATGCAGCCATACCCAAGAAGAACACCAACACGTCACAGTTATTTTTATATGGGCAGAGGAAAAGTAAAAAAAAATCAGATATTTGACCACCATGAGGTCTGTGTGGACTGCAGTTTGGGAAACATCTGGAGAAGAACATTTGAGCTGCAAGAGGATAGAGTCACAAGTTATTCCCAAGAGACTGTTAGTTCCCTTCGTAGACTAAGGCTTCTTGATGGATGATACAAAAAACCTCCGAAAGAAACATTTTGATGGAGAAAAGCCATTACCCATCTAAACAGCAAGAAAATAGGGTTTAGTTCCTGATGTGAGGGTATGTGGCAGAAGTTCAGTTCACCCTCTAACTGCCGAGTCGGTCAGTCAAGCTGGGTGCAACCGCTTTGGCCTGTGTGTCAGCTGAACCCCTGTTACCACCAAGAGGTGTGTTATTCAGAGAGGATCTGAGTGTGTGCTCTGTGGCCTGCACCATGGCTCGTTTTCTTATGTCCTGGTGCTTAATGGTTTGGGTTTGACCTAATCAAGACATTTTTATGAAGATGTATGTGAAAACCTTGAAGGTTGGTGGGCTTCTTAATACTCAGTACAACAAGCTCAATGTCATTTCCCCTTTACTCTGCTCAGGCTCTGCCTCCTGTGCTCCCAGATGTCCTCCCCTGCCAACATCTAGCTTTAGCATTTTCAGAGTTTCACTGTGTCAGCGGGCTGTTCCGGGGGGGCCCACGTGTGAGGCAGGACAATACCAGTGAGGAGGAAGAGTGAGAGAGTCTGGTGGGACTTACTTTTTCATGCAGGATTCAAAAACTGGGAAAAGGAGCTCAGGTTGTTCTGCATCCAACGAAGCACCGGTAAGGCCCCCAGCCCTAGCTAGCGCACGGTGCTGTGCAACATGCTGCGGTGGGAGTCATCTCCAGCTTAGACCTCACGTGGCCAGCAAGCCCCCCGCAGGGTGAGCGCTGCCCTCCCTGTGCTCAAGGAGGCAGATTGGGGGGGTTAGGCGCAGAGTCAGACCCAGCCTGAGGTTACACCTCTAAAAACCAGTGTTGACTTAGTGCAGACTGATTGGGATGGTCCTGCTGCACCACTTTCTGTCCCAGGAAGGTAGGCATACAGCTCGAGGGAGTAGATGAGATTTTGTAGAGTACCAGAGCTATTTCCAGAGCTGAGCTGGCCCTGAAAGCAGCGCAGCCATGTACCTCACCTAGTAACACTGCTAAACCCAAGCTGCCTTGGCATCTGAGGCGTGAAAACTTCACAACTCAGATAATCCAACTATGGGTGGTTGTTGACAGCTGACAGTATTGCCCTGGGTATGAAGCCCGCACTGGAAGCATACAGCTGTGCGAATGAGAAAGAGAGCAGTACACATGAAAGGAACCAACTGCTAAAATATTGATAAATCTATCAAGAAAGCATAAAAATAATAAAAAAATAAACAGATGCTCAAGTACATCTTGAGATAATGAATTATGGAAGAGAATATGCTGCGAGTTTTCAGGGAAAAAAGGGAATGTGAGTGGGTAGACGGATGAGTGAGGGAAAGCAGGCAAAAAAAAATTACCTATCAAACTCAGAGGATACGACCATTTCACTCACTGTCTGCTGTGAAACCATCTGTGTTGAGAAGATGGGTGACTTAAAGGAAGTAAGTGCAGGGGCGGAAAAGGGGTCTTTCATAAAAAAGACCCAGCTGAGTGAAAAACCTTTAAACCCTAGTACCATTACATAATTCAGGAGACTGGAAATTACTGGTCACAAAGTGGACAGAAGATGAAAAGGAATTCCCAGTGATCATGTATCATGTGAAATCAACTGGAGTTTCACTGCTGGTTCTCCTAAGAATAAAAGTATGATCTTGAAGCAGACTAGCTGCTTAGACAGCGTGCATATGGGAGGAGGGCAGGAGTGCTTGAGAGGCAAAGTTAAAGTTGCATGAGTTTAATTTTGCAGCTTTATACTTTGCGTATCTTGTGACTGCCTTTTTTACGAATGCCCTTTTTCAGAATGATGCACCAGATCCCATAGAATCACGGAATCGTTTAGGATGGAAAAGACCTTTAAGATATCAAGCCCAACCCAGCACTAGCCATTAACCTAGCACTGCCAAGTCCACCACTAAACCATGTCCCTACGCACCACATTTACACGTTTTTTAAAT